ATAGGCTAATATTATAAAGAGTTACGGCGTGTGATGTGTGCGTGCCTTCTGATACGACTTATGTCCCTTTTTCAGCCATTAGTCGCTATTTAGCAAAGGAAAATAATTTTTTTTATATAGAGAACACTTTATTCAATTTAAAATATTGAAAAAGAAGTTAAAAAAATAATGTAAGATAAAATAAATAAATAAATAAAAATTATCCGAAATTTATCCATTTAATAGCTATTATACGCTATTTCCCAGAGAAAAAATCGTTATTTTTATGTACAGAACACTCTATTCACGTTAAAATATCGAAAAATATATTAAAAAAATAATAAAAAATAAATAAAAAAATTTGAAAGTTGACACTCACGCGGTTTCGAACCCAGGTTCTCCGGGACAACAAATCTAACTTGCCCAAAGCGCTACCAACTTCGCCACGCCTCTCATGCCAGCCTCACAAATTTAGCTTATAACAAAACATATTTTGGGTCATTGTGGGCCCACTAATGGGTGTATAAAAAATTCCTTTGGTACAATTTTTCGATACATTAAACTGCAAGTGCGGGCTGAGTTTGAAGTTTATAGGTTAATATTATAGGGAGTTACGGGGTGTGATGTGTGCGTGCTTCCTGATACGACTTTTGTCCCTTTTACAGCCATTATTCGCTCTTTAACAAAGAAAAATAATTCTTTTTAATTATAGAACACTTCATTCAACTTAAAATATTGAAATAGAAGTTAAAAAAATAACATAAATAAAATAAATAAATAAATGAAAATTATCCGAAATGTATCCGTTTTATAGATATTATTCGCTATTTCCCAAAGAAAAAATAGTTATTTTTATATACAGAACACTTTATTCACGTTAATATTAAGGTACGATATCGGGCCATGTACTAAAATAGACTATTGACATCGAATTTCCTCATTTTAACGCTATTCAACACTCTATTATATTTATACATACATAGTAAACGATAGGACCACATTGTGTACCCCCTTATAAGCCTATAATTATTTCCTCTGATAGTGTACACTAGTTTCCGGTAATACAATAAGTGGTCCAATATAAATATTATGGGTCAATATTAGGGTACGATATCGGGCCATGTGTTAAAACAGAATATTGACTTCGAATTTCCTCATTTTAAAGCTAATAAGCACACTATTATATATATACATATAGTATACTAAATTATAGGGCCCCATTGTGTACCCCCTAATAAGACTATAATTATTCCCTTTGGTAGGGTACACTAGTTATCGGTAATATTATACGTGGTCGAATATAAATAATATATGTCAATATTAAGGAAAGATATCGGGCTAAATGTTGAAACAGAATATTGACTTCGAATTTCCTCATTTTATAGCAAATAAACACACTTTTATATATGGGTCATTCTCACAAAAACATTTTCATGTCCCCAGTGTATTTTATGTTTGTTTTACAACTTACGAAAAAAGATTTTTCAGGGAAAATGTCCTTCAAAATGCAGGCTAACAAAAGAATAAAAATAAAATTATCATATTTTATTTTTTATTTATTTTAGGTAATTAAAATATACCAATATGTCATTCCCTCATTTGTCCCCACTGTTGATTTAAAAAAAGAAAAATTTTTTTCTGAAATAAAAATAAAAAAAATTACAAATTCGTGCTTTTTATTTCAGACTATTGAAATATAGAATTCAGAAAATCAAATTTAAATTAAATTTCTGATAAAAATATTAACACAGCACTATTTTAAACTTTGTCCCCAGTGTTTTGCGTCATTCCCTCACTACAATGTTTTTATCACCTGCAATCTTCTTAGAATAAAAATATTTTAATAAAAACTTCAGAAGTTAACAACTGGCATCATAGAACAAAATTGCAGTATGTTTCCATCTTCAACTTAAAGAAGCTTTGCTGTGGAATAAATTTGAATGAATCAAACCAGGTAAAATTTTTTACATTTGTCATTCC